CTCCTGGGGCATCTGCCTAGAGGTAACCAATGGAATAACAACCAAATTATTAACCTCACAACCACGTTTTCTGACAGCCTCCAATCTATCAGAATGGTAGGAGATAAAAGTTTGTATAAACTCACTAGAATGCAGAGTTAAAGGAACGTAAATGTGACCGACCGCCTTGATTCGGTCTTATGTAGCAAAATTTGAAATTATCTTTTTTACATTGGATAAAAGCAGAGACACAGAGCTACAAAATGGTATATCATACACTGCATTTGAGGAACAATGGGAAAGTAATTCTGCTTTGAAAGTTGATAAACTTGTAACATCACTTTTGAAAAAATGGCCTTTGAATGTTTTGGTACCTACTGGAGAGCTCTTCTTTGTCTACACCCATTCAGCATCGTTCACACCCTCTTAAGCTTTAGCCCCACCCATCTCTTTAAGGGTTGATCCGAGCGTTCTGTCCTAACAACAACAGTCAAGCACCCAAGCTAACTGGCTAACGTTGGCTAGCTTGCTAGCTACTTCCAGACACAAATGAGAGAACAGCTCACTGACCATTTTACTCGCCCTAGCAGAGCTGGTTAGGCTGTTTTATGTTATCCAGAGCGTTGGTGACTGCAACTGTGCTGCTGGCAACCATTTACGCTTTTTTGCCAACGTTTACTGACACCGGCCATATTCAACCGGTGTGGAGCGTTCGTAAATTCATCAGTTATTCTGCGCTCTGGCACACTCAGACGAGAGTGCTCTGAAATCGGAGTAGATAGCCAGAGCGAATTTACCAGCTACGTCTATCAACAGTTGTCGCTGTGACATTCTATTGAAATGGTTACTTGCATAGTGGAGTCTTTTGTTAAGACATGTAGCTAGCTAGCTAGCTAGGTAAACAATGAACCCAAATCCCAACTCATGACATTACTACCCTGCATGAATCTGCAGGTAGCTAACCAACCAGGTTCAATGTTAGCTAGCTAACATTAGGCTATAACTAGCGAAGCAAAGGCTCTGAGATACGAATAATAAGATCATACACGTAACGTTAGCTAGTGAGCCAGCCAGCTAACATTAGCTAGCTAGCTAACAGTACACTTTAACTTGAAATGAAAATGACTTTGTGTCAAAATTAGAAATGTGTAATATCTGAAAATGTAGCTAGCTAGACTATCTTACCCGTGCTCTGAAATCGAAATAGATAGCCAGAGCGAATTTACCAGCTACGTCTATCAACAGTTGTCGCTGTGACATTCTATTGAAATGGATACTTGCATAGTGGAGTCTTTTGTTAAGACATGTAGCTAGCTAGCTAAACAATGAACCATAATCCAAATTCATGACGTTACTACCCTGCATGAATCTGCAGGTAGCTAACCAACCAGGTTCAATGTTAGCTAGCAACATTAGGCTATAACTAGCAAAGCAAATGGCTCTGAGATACGAATAATAAGATCATACACGTAACGTAACTTGAAATGAAAACGACTTTGTGTCGAAATTAGAAACGTGTAATATCTGAAAATGTAGCTAGCTGGACTATCTTACCCATATACATCATGGATGGTTGCCTCTCCCTATCATGGATGCCATGGTTGCCCTTAGTTTGAAGATGTATATATGGCAGACCAATCCGAACTCATCTCTCGGCATGTCTAGCCCACTGATTATCTCAGCCAATCATGGCTAGCAGGAAAGTTGCTGTCTTTTTCTGTGGCTAAACCAACTAGGCTCGTAATTTAACAATTTTATTTGTATTTACAGATGGCATACAAGTCTGTTATTAAGGCACATGAAAGTTCATATGTTCCAGAAGGCATTGCTGCCCAAAAAAGTTTACGTTCAAATGGCTCTCCTGTGAAGTAGTGACCTAGTTACCTAGTTTCCTGAATGCCTCCATATGTCTAGTTTCCTGAAACAAGTCACAAATTAGGTTACTCACAATAACCATAGTGTCATTTGTATAGGAGCTGATATGGTTTCCAAGTCCTCTGTTGCTTATTCTGACAGGGAGAACTGGAGCACTACCATACCCTGTCTGTCAGTCTCTAAAACAGTTTGCGATGTTACTGGAAATGATCCTGGAACCCCTGCGGTTAGGGTGAATCCGTCTCTTTTAAAAAAGTGCTGGTTCCTCCGACAGCAAATCAAAGTTGTCACAAAAAGAGACATTCCTGTCATTGCAAAGTTTCTTCAGGCACTCCTTTAGGGAAAAGAGTCGGCAGAAACGTTCCGAACCCCTTCGGTAGCATTGGAGGGGGCCAGAGATAATTTTTATCTTCCCTGTGCTAGCGAGGGTCTTTAAAAAATGTTTGTGGTCCTCCCTCAGTTCCTCAGATCGCCGAAAACGAAGGTTATTAAAACCTACGTGAGTGACGATGGTGTCAATATTGGAGTAGTTTGCCAGAACCGTGGGTAGAGCGGTGATGTCATTGACACAGGCTTCTGGATGACAGTGGACCTTGGTCGGTCCACAGACCATAGGCAGGCCAACATCTCTCACCATCGAGCTGCCCACAATGATGGTGGTAGTGATGGAATCTGATAGGAAAATTATCTGCTAAACTGTGGTGGCCGTGGGGGAGGGTGCCACTGGGTGGCCACCGGCTGTTGGTATACACCCAGGATCCGTGCTGACTCCTGGTGCTGGTAGGTCCATCTCAAACGGGGCAAAGCTGTTTGATAGCTGGATCAGATCTTCTCAGATAGATCGGTGGGAAGACTGCCTCCCCGATCTCCTACGCCTTGCGAGTGTCCAGTCTCCCATGGGCCGCGTACTTGTCCGTTGGAATGGGACAGATCAATGCCACTGACTCATCGACAGCTTTTCTATAGGAGGCATTTAAAACTGAGATTTGGTTTGCCTGGGTTTCAGCAAGGTTGGTGTACTTAGAAAGCAGGTCTTCCTTTTATCGCAGCCGAGCTAACAGCCGGAGAATCTCTTCTGCTTGATGGTGGTGCATTTAGGGCAGACAAATCCCTGTTTATTTTCCAGTTCCACCTTATCTTCATGTTGTGATTGTGTGGAAATCATCTCACACCTGAAGCATTTGTGCCCAGCTATGGATAAAAACACCAGTGGGCTAGCACTGCTAGTGTTAGCCTGCTCCATTTTCATGATGGCTAGCAGCTAGCTGCTACTTAACAGGAATCCGGGACACAAACTTGCGGTCCAAGCCGTAAAGGCTGACCACGTCGCTGAATCAGTAGCAATACAAACTTTAGCTACTATTAAAAACAATTTAATGAAAACAATGTAATAAAAACAACAAACCGAGTGTAGAAAGTACACTGTTCTGTTGCGCGCTCTTCCGGGGGCTTCTCCCTATAGTTAGCCTACAACATGTCAAAGTTGAAGTGCATTGCGGTTGTATTTTGCATTAGGCTATTTTAATCTTGGTGTTTAGGAAAAATATTTTAGTAAGGACGTTATTACAACTTGAAGAAACCGATGGTGAAATTAACTTTGAAAACGAACTTTAACTTACATTTGACCATGCTGTGTAGGTCATGTAAGTGTTTGTTATATGCAATATTTTATTTGTGTACTTAAACAGGACATACACTACATGACCAAAAGTATGTGGACACCTGCTCGTCTAACATCTCATTCCAAAATCATGGGCATTAATGTGGAATTGGTCCCCCCTTTGCTGCTTTAACAGCCTCCACTCTTCTGGGAAGGCTTTCCACTAGATGTTGGAACATTGCTGCGGGGACTTGCTTCCATTTAGCCACAAGAGCATTAGTGAGGTCGGGCACTGATGTTGGGCGATTAGGCCTGGCTCGCAGTCGGCATTCCAATTCATTCCACAGGTGTTCGATGGGGTTGAAATCAGGGCCCTGTGCAGGCCAGTCGAGATCTTGACAAACCAGTTCTGTATGGATCTCGCTTTGTGCACTGGGGCATTGTCATGCTGAAACAGGAAAGGGCCTTCCCCAAAATGTTGCCACAAAGTTGGAAACACAGAATCATCTAGAATGTAATTGTATGCTGTAGAGTTAAGATCTCCCTTGACTGGAACTAAGGGGCCTAGCCCGAACCAAGTAAAACAGCCCCAGACCATTATTCCTCCTCCACCAAACTTTACAGTTGGCACTATGCGTTGGGGCAGGTATCGTTCTCCTGGTATCCACCAAATCCAGATTCATCCTTCGGACTGCCAGATGGTGAAGAGTGATTCATTACTCCACGGAACGCGTTTCCACTGCTCCAGAGTCCAATGGCGGCAAGCTTTACACCGCTCCAGCCGACGCTTGGCATTGCGCATGGTGATGTTAGGCTTGTGTGCGGCTGCTCGGCCATGGAAACCCATTTCATGAAGCTCCCGACAAACAGTTATTGTGCTGATGTTGCTTCCAGAGGCAGTTTGGAACTCGGTAGTGAGTGTTGCAACCGAGGACTGAAGATTTGTACATGCTACGCGTTTCAGCACTCGGCGGTCCCATTCTGTGAGCTTGTATGGCCTACCACTTCGCAGCTGAGCTGTTGTTGCTCCTAGACGTTTCCACTTCACAATAACAGCACTTACAGTTGACCGGGGCAGCTCTAGCAGAGCAGAAATGTTATGAACTGATTTGTTGGAAAGGTGGCATCCTATGACGGTGCTACGTTGAAAGTCACTGAGCTCTTCTGTAAGGCCATTCTACTGCCAATATTTGTCTACGGAGATTGCATGGCTGTGTGCTGGATTTTATACACCTGTCAGCAACGGGTGTGGATGAAATAGCAGAATTTGAAGGGGTGTCCACATACTTTTGTATATGTAGTGTATGTTGCTCTCCGGTTTTTTTAATTTGATGCAACATAAACATATGTGGTTTAATTTATTCTTCCACTGTGTGACACTTATCTTTTGGAATTGTGTCCATGAAACAATGTAGGCTTATAGGTCTTATATCGGCTATCATGGTGCCGTATAAATGTATTTCTAACGGGTTATAGAGCAAACAATGCAATTATCACAACATAAGTTGTAAAAATGTACAATCCTCTCACTCCTCTTTTCGCAGGGAGCGCATACAGAGAATGCATAGATAATGGAACGTGGGCTCTGAAGAGCAACTACTCCAGTTGTGAACCCATTTTGGAGGAGAAGGTTGGTAGGACTTGTTTATGCTGATCAAACCCTATACCCTCCCCTTTATTTTGCTTGTTGCAAGTAACCTGCTAGAGAAAAGGTTAACAACCAGAACCACATACTCAGATCAAACTGTTAGTCGATGAGGTATGATATGTAGGGTAATCCTGTAGCTCAGTTGGTAGAGCATGGCGCTTGCAACGCAAGGGTTGTGGGTTTGATTCCCACGGGGTGCCAGTATGAAAAATGTGGATAAGAGCGTCTGCTAAAAATTACTAAAATATAAAATGTAATGTGAAGTAACTTGCCCCCTGGTATAACTGCCCCACTCCCCCCCACAATTTTTTTTTTATCTGTCTCATCTACATTTTTTAAGTCACTCTAACAAAACAATTCTGAGGTAAGTTGATCTTATATTTCATGATTTAGAAAAAGTTGTATATATATATAGGGTTTTTCTTTATTTGTACTATTTTCTACATTGTAGAATAATAGTGAAGACATCAAAACTATGAAATAACACATATGGAATCAAGTAGTAACCAAACAAGTGTTAAACAAATCAAAATATATTTTATATTTCAGATTCTTCAAAGTAGCCACCCTTTGCCTTGATGACAGCTTTGCACACTCTTGGAATTCTCTCAACCAGCTTCATGAGGTAGTCACCTGGAATGCATTTCAATTAACAGGTGTGCCTTGTTAAAAGTTAATTTGTGGAATATCTTTCCTTCTTAATGTGTTTGAGCCAATAAGTTTTGTTGTGACAATGTAGGCATGGTATACAGAAGATAGCCCTATTTGGTAAAAGACCAAGTCCATATTATGGCAAGAACAGCTCAAATAAGCAAAGAGAAATGACAGTCCATCATTATTTTAAGACATGAAGGTCAGTCAATCCGGAACATTTCAAGAACTTTGAAAGTTTCTTCAAGTGCAGTCGCAAAAACCATCAAGTGCTATGATGAAACTCGCTCTCATGAGGACCACCACAGGAAAGGAAGACCCAGAGTTACCTCTGCTGCAGAGGATGTTCATTAGAGTTAACTGCACCTCAGATTGCAACCCAAATAAATGCTTCACAGAGTTCAAGTAACAGACACAGCTCAACATCAACTGTTCAGAATAGACTGCATGAATCAGGCCTTCATGGTTGAATTGTTGCAAAGAAACCACTACTAAAGGACACCAATAAGAAGAAGAGACTTGCTTGGGCCAAGAAACACGAGCAATGGACATTAGACCGGTGGAAATCTGTCCTTTGGTCTGATGAGTTCAAATTTGAGATTTTTGGTTCCAACCGTCGTGTCTTTGTGAGACGCAGAGTAGGTAAAAGGATGTTCTTCGCATGTATGGCTCCCACCGTGAAGCATGGAGGAGGAGGTGTGATGGTGCTTTGCTGGTGACACTGTCAGTGATTTATTTAGAATTCAAGGCACACAACCAGCATGGCTACCACAGCATTCTGCAGCGATACGCCATCCCATCTGGTTTGCACTTTGTGGGACTATCATTTGTTTTTCAACAGGATAATGACCCAAAACACACCTCCAAGCTGTGTAATGGCTATTTAACCAAGAAGGAGAGTTATAGAGCACTGCATCAGATGACCTGGCCTCCACAATCACCCGACCTCAACCCAATTGAGATGGTTTGGGATGTGTTGGACCGCAGAGTGAAGGAAAGTGCTCAGCATATGTGGGAACTCCTTCAAGACTGTTGGAAAAGCATTCCTCATAAAGCTGGTTAAGAAAATGCCAAGAGTGTGCAAAGCTGTCATCAAGGCAAAGGGGTGGCTACTTTGAAGAATCTAAAATCAAAAATATATTTTGATTTGTTTAACACTTTTTTGGTTACTTCATGATTCCATATGTGTTATTTCATAGTTTTGATGTCTTCACTATTATTCTACAATGTAGTAAATAGTCAGAATAAAGAAAAACCTTTGAATGAGTAGGTGTGTCAAAACATTTGACTTGTTCTGTATATATAATCTAGTTATGTTACATCTATAAACTTTTTTATATACTGTATATATACAGTGGGGGAAAAAAGTATTTAGTCAGCCACCAATTGTGCAAGTTCTCCCACTTAAAAAGATGAGAGAGGCCTGTAATTTTCATCATAGGTACACGTCAACTATGACAGACAAAATGAGGGGAAAAAATCCAGAAAATCACATTGTAGGATTTTTTATGAATTTATTTGCAAATTATGGTGGAAAATAAGTATTTGGTCACCTACAAACAAGCAAGATTTCTGGCTCTCACAGACCTGTAACTTCTTCTTTAAGAGGCTCCTCTGTCCTCCACTCGTTACCTGTATTAATGGCACCTGTTTGAACTTGTTATCAGTATAAAAGACACATTGTCCACAACCTCAAACAGTCACACTCCAAACTCCACTATGGCCAAGACCAAAGAGCTGTCAAAGGACACCAGAAACAAAATTGTAGACCTGTACCAGGCTGGGAAGACTGAATCTGCAATAGGTAAGCAGCTTGGTTTGAAGAAATCACTGTGGGAGCAATTATTAGGAAATGGAAGACATACAAGACCACTGATAATCTCCCTCGATCTGGGGCTCCACGCAAGATCTCACCCTGTGGGGTCAAAATGATCACAAGAACGGTGAGCAAAAATCCCAGAACCACAAAGGGGGACCTAGTGAATGACCTGCAGAGAGCTGGGACCAAAGTAACAAAGTCTACCATCAGTAACACACTACGCCGCCAGGGACTCAAATCCTGCAGTGCAAGACGTGTCCCCCTGCTTAAGCCAGTACATGTCCAGGCCCATCTGAAGTTTGCTAGAGTGCATTTGGATGATCCAGAAGAGGATTGGGAGAATGTCATATGGTCAGATGGTCAGACTCAACTCGTCGTGTTTGGAGGACAAAGAATGCTGAGTTGCATCCAAAGAACACCATACCTACTGTGAAGCATGGGGGTGGAAACATCATGCTTTGGGGCTGTTTTTCTGCAAAGGGACCAGGACGACTGATCCGTGTAAAGGAAAGAATGAATGGGGCCATGTATCGTGAGATTTTGAGTGAAAACCTCCTTCCATCAGCAAGGGCATTGAAGATGAAACGTGGCTGGGTCTTTCAGCATGACAATGATCCAAAACACACTGCCCGGGCAACAAAGGAGTGGCTTCGTAAGAAGCATTTCAAGGTCCTGGAGTGGCCTAGCCAGTCTCAAGATCTCAACCCCATAGAAAATCTTTGGAGGGAGTTGAAAGTCCGTGTTGCCCAGCGACAGCCCCAAAACATCACTGCTCTAGAGGAGATCTGCATGGAGGAATGGGCCAAAATACTAGCAACAGTGTTTGAAAACCTTGTGAAGACTTACAGAAAACGTTTGACCTGTGTCATTGCCAACAAAGGGTATATAACAAAGTATTGAGAAACTTTTGTTATTGACCAAATACTTATTTTCCACCATAATTAGAAAATAAATTCATTAAAAATCCTACAATGTGATTTTCTGGATTTTCTTTTCTCATTTTGTCTGTCATAGTTGACGTGTACCTATGATGAAAATTACAGGCCTCTCTCATCTTTTTAAGTGGGAGAACTTGCACAATTGGTGGCTGACTAAATACTTTTTTTCCCCACTGTACCATTAGGGGAGCATAAAGATAAATAATCCACTTGTTTAGAGAAAAAAAATGTAATCAGTTTTTAATAAAGCAGTCAAATTTAAGGTGAGTGTGTAGGGGGAAACTAGCCCTAGAATAGCCCCCCATCCAATTGGGCAATGACATTAGTAGCTACTCTCTTTTTATGTTTCAAAAGCAGCTACTTGAAATATTAGCTCAATATACAAAGCTCTGATTTAGGAAGATCAGTCAAAAAAATGGAAACAAATAAAATCCTAGCTTTTTGGAATGTTTGTTCATTCTTACTAATCCAGTCAGCTAAGGTACAGTGGGGAAAAAATGTATTTAGTCAGCCACCAATTGTGCAAGTTCTCCCACTTAAAAAGATGAGAGAGGCCTGTAATTTTCATCATAGGTACACGTCAACTATGACAGACAAAATGAGAAAAAAAAAATCCAGAAAATCACATTGTAGGATTTGTAATGCATTTATTTGCAAATTATGGTGGAAAATAAGTATTTGGTCAATAACAAAAGTTTCTCAATACTTTGTTATATACCCTTTGTTGAAAAACAGCCCCAAAGCATGATGTTTCCACCCCCATGCTTCACAGTAGGTATGGTGTTCTTTGGATGCAACTCAGCATTCTTTGTCCTCCAAACACGACGAGTTGAGTTTTTACCAAAAAGTTATATTTTGGTTTCATCTGACCATATGACATTCTCCCAATCCTCTTCTGGATCATCCAAATGCACTCTAGCAAACTTCAGACGGGCCTGGACATGTACTGGCTTAAGCAGGGGGACACGTCTGGCACTGCAGGATTTGAGTCCCTGGCGGCGTAGTGTGTTACTGATGGTAGGCTTTGTTACTTTGGTCCCAGCTCTCTGCGGGTCATGCACTAGGTCCCCCCGTGTGGTTCTGGGATTTTTGCTCACCATTCTTGTGATCATTTTGACCCCACAGGGTGAGATCTTGCGTGGAGCCCCAGATCGAGGGAGATTATCAGTGGTCTTGTATGTCTTCCATTTCCTAATAACTGCTCCCACAGTTGATTTCTTCAAACCAAGCCGCTTACCTATTGCAGATTCAGTCTTCCCAGCCTGGTGCAGGTCTACAATTTTGTTTCTGGTGTCCTTTGACAGCTCTTGGCCATAGTGGAGTTTGGAGTGTGACTGTTTGAGGTTGTGGACAGGTGTCTTTTATACTGATAACAAGTTCAAACAGGTGCCATTAATACAGGTAACGAGTGGAGGACAGAGGAGCCTCTTAAAGAAGAAGTTACAGGTCTGTGAGAGCCAGAAATCTTGCTTGTTTGTAGGTGACCAAATACTTATTTTCCACCATAATTTGCAAATAAATTCATTAAAAATCCTACAATGTGATTTTCTGGATTTTTTTCCCTCAATTTGTCTGTCATAGTTGACGTGTACCTATGATGAAAATTACAGGCCTCTCTCATCTTTTTAAGTGGGAGAACTTGCACAATTGGTGGCTGACTAAATACTTTTTTTCCCCACTGTATGTCATTTATTTTCAGAACGTTCCACGTTTCCACACTTAGATTTTTATGTATTATTGCAAATGCATGTCTTTGTCAATGTGTATGTACAGGTAACTGCCAAAATAATGGAAACACAGGTAAATGAGGTATACAAAGTACATTGAAAGCTGGTGCTTCCACACAGGTGTGGTTCCTAAATTAATTATGCAATTAACATCCCATCATGCTTAGGGTCATGTATAAAAATGCTGGGCAGGCCATTACTTTGGCTACCATGGCTATGCCCCCATAGGATGACAATGCCCCCATCCACAGGGCACGAGTTGTCACTGAATGGTTTGATGAGCATGAAAACGATGTAAACCATATGCCATGGCCATCTCATTCACCAGAACTCAACCCGGCGCCTGAGACAGCGTATTTCACCACCATCAACAAAACACTGAATGATGGAATTTCTTGTGGAAGTATGGTGTTGCATCTCTCCAATATAGTTACAGACACTTGTAGAATCTATACCAAGGTGCAGTTGCCTGTATATCCCCTTAATTTTGTATTAATCACTTTGTGTCTTTCGAGATTTTGAAGTAGATCTTGTGATATTCTCTCCACAGAGGAAATACCCAATGCACTATAAGATTGCTCTGATCATCAACTACCTAGGCCACTGTATTTCTGTGGGAGCTCTTGTTGTGGCCTTCATTCTCTTCTTATGCTTAAGGCAAGTACAGAAATAGTACCCTTCTAAATGAATCTGCAGTACATGTGACCTCTTACAAAACAATGAGTGACATTTATTTGAACTGCAGGATTGCCCTCCATTAACACATTTAATGTAAAATGAAGAGATCCCTCTCAGTTGAAAACACATATGTTAGGGATATATCGCAAAAAATTCACTAAACATATATTTCATCTAGATTATTGTCTTTGTATATGTTTTGATGCTTGTTAATCTAAAAATACTAAAATATATAACATCAATCAAGGAAATTGTACCCAATAATAAAATGTTGTCGCCTACTATAGGAATATGATTTTGATTGGAATATTGTAACTTTAGGTATGTAAAACATTGTTTTCTTTATTTCAAATTTTCTTAATATTTCTAGGAGTATAAGATGCCTTCGAAACATAATCCACTGGAACTTGATAACAACCTTCATTTTGAGGAATGTTATGTGGTTCCTACTTCAGTTGATTGACCACAATATACATGAGAGCAATGAGGTAACATTCGTTACATATTATTATTTATTTTAACAATTCACGTGACTGTTAAGCTTTTCATTGCACTAATACCTAACGTAAGTTTGTTTTTATATCTTTCTACAGCCTTGGTGTCGCCTTATAACAACGATATATAACTATTTTGTGGTGACCAATTTTTTCTGGATGTTTGTTGAAGGATGCTACCTTCACACAGCCATTGTGATGACTTATTCAACGGACAAGCTAAAAAAATGGGTCTTCTTGTTCATTGGCTGGTGTAAGTACATGTCCGACTATGACAAGTGACTGATATCAATAATACAACTCTAGATAACATCCGTACATACAGCAGAATTGAAACCCGCCTAAATATGAAACATGAAATTCTAACAGTTTCTTTCACTATTTTGTCAATCTGTCAATCATATTGTCACCTCTATGAGCCATTATAACAGTCTGGTAAAAAAAAAGAAAATGTTTATAGAAATATGAATGTCACTCTACTGTAGCTGTAAGAGGTAAACACAGGTTGATTTGTGCAGAGGGGGTTGAATCCCCACATACTACACAAAACACACCATTAAATAAGACAACGGAAGAGCTACAGTGCATTCGGAAAGTATTCAGACTCCTTCCCTTTTTCCACATTTTGTTATGTTACAGTCTTATTCTAAAATGGATGAAATAAATAAAAATCCTCACCAATCTACACACAATACCTCATAATGACAAAGCGAAAACAGGTTTTTAGAAATGTTTGCACATTTATTAAAAATAAAAAACAGAAATACCTTATAAACATAAGTATTCAGACCCTTTGCTATGAAACTCGAAATTGAGCTCAGGTGCATCCTGTTTCCATTTATCATCCTTGAGATGTTTCTACAACTTCATTGGAGTCCACCTGTGGTAAATTCAATTGATTGGACATGATTTGGAAAGGCACACACCTGTCTATATAAGGTCCCACAGTTGAAAATGCATGTCAGAGCAAAAACCAAGCCATGAGGTCGAAGGAATTGTCCGTAGAGCTCCGAGACACGATTGTGTCGAGGCACAGATCTGTGGAAGGGTACCAAAACATTTCTGCAGAATTGAAGGTCCCCAAGAACACAGTGGCCTCCATCATTCTTAGATGGAAGACATTTGAAACCACCAAGACTCTTCTTAGAGCTGGTCGCCCGGCCAAACTGAGCAATCGGGGGAGAACGGCCTTGGTCAGGGAGGTGACCAAGAACCAGATGGTCACTCTGACAGGGCTCCAGAGTTCCTCTGTGGGGATGGGAGAACCTTCCAGAAGGACAACCATCTCTGGCGCACTCCACCAATCAGGCCTTTATGGTAGAGTGGCCAGACGGAAGACACTCCTCAGTAAAAGGCACATGACAGCCCGCTTGGAGCTTGCCAAAAGGCACCTAAAGGACTCTCAGACCATGAGAAACAAGGTTCTCTGGTCTGATGAAACCAAGATTGAACTCTTTGGCCTGAATGCCAAGTGTCATGTGTGGAGGAAACCTGGCACCATCCCTATGGTGAAGCATGGTGGCAGCAGCATCATGCTGTGGGGATGTTTTTCAGCGACAGGGACTGGGAGACCTATCAGGATCGAGGGAAAGATGAACGGAGCAAAGTACAGAGAGATACTTGATAAAAACCTGCTCCAGAGCGCTCAGGACCTCAGACTGGGGCGAAGTTTCACCTTCCAACAGGACAACGAGTCTCTGAATGTCCTTAAGTGGCCCAGCCAGAGCCCAGACTTGAACCCAATCGAACATCTCTGGAGAGACCTGAAAATAGCTGTGCAGCGACGCTCCCCATCCAACCTGACAGCGCTTGAGAGGATCTGCAGAGAAGAATGGGAGAAACTCCCGAAATACAAGTGTGCCAAGCTTGTAGAGTCATACCCAAGAAGACTCGAGGCTGAGGTGCCAAAGGTGCTTCAACAAAGTACTGAGTAAAGGGTCTGAATACATATTTAAATGTGATATTGAAGTTTTTTATTTTTTAATAAATTTGCCCAACAAAATACAAACCTGTTTTTGCTTTGTCATTATTGGATATTGTGTGTAGATTGATGAGGAATATTTTTTTTGAATACATTTTAGAATAAGGCTGTAACATAACTAAATGTGGAAAAAGTCAAGGGATCTGAATACTTTCCAAATGTACTGTACAGTGGGGAAAAAAGTATTTAGTCAGCCACCAATTGTGCAAGTTCTCCCACTTAAAAAGATGAGAGAGGCCTGTATTTTTCATCATAGGTACACGTCAACTATGACAGACAAATTGAGAAAAAACATTCCTGAAAATTAAATTGTAGGATTTTTTATGAATTTATTTGCAAATTATGGTGGAAAATAAGTATTTGGTCACCTACAAACAAGCAAGATTTCTGGCTCTCACAAACCTGTAACTTCTTCTTTAAGAGGTTCCTCTGTCCTCCACTCGTTACATGTATTAATGGCACCTGTTTGAACTTGTTATCAGTATAAAAGACACCTGTCCACAACCTCAAACAGTCACACTCCAAACTCCACTATGGCCAAGACCAAAGAGCTGTCAAAGGACACCAGAAACAAAATTGTAGACCTGCACCAGGCTGGGAAGACTGAATCTGCAATAGGTAAGCAGCTTGGTTTGAAGAAATCAACTATGGGAGCAATTATTAGGAAATGGAAGACATACAAGACCACTGATAATCTCCCTCGATCTGGGGCTCCACGCAAGATCTCACCCCGTGGGGTCAAAATGATAACAAGAACGGTGAGCAAAAATCCCAGAACCACACGGGGGGACCTAGTGAATGACCTGCAGAGAGCTGGGACCAAAGTAACAAAGCCTACCATCAGTAACACACTACGCCGCCAAGGACTCAAATCCTGCAGTGCGAGACGTGTCCCCCTGCTTAAGCCAGTACATGTCCAGGCCCGTCTGAAGTTTGCTAGAGTGCATTTGGATGATCCAGAAGAGGATTGGGAGAATGTCATATGGTCAGATGAAACCAAAATATAACTTTTTGGTAAAAACTCAACTCGTCGTGTTTGGAGGACAAAGAATACTGAGTTGCATCCAAAGAACACCATACCTACTGTGAAGCATGGGGGTGGAAACATCATGCCTTGGGGCTGTTTTTCTGCAAAGGGACCAGTACGACTGATCCGTGTAAATGAAAGAATGAATGGGGCCATGTATCGTGAGATTTTGAGTGAAAACCTCCTTCCATCAGCAAGGGCATTGAAGATGAAACATGGCTGGGTCTTTCAGCATGACAATGATCCCAAACACACTGCCCGGGCAACGAAGGAGTGGCTTCGTAAGAAGCATTTCAAGGTCCTGGAGTGGCCTAGCCAGTCTCCAGATCTCAACCCCATAGAAAATCTTTGGAGGGAGTTGAAAGTCCGTGTTGCCCAGCGACAGCCCCAAAACATCACTGCTCTAGAGGAGATCTGCATGGAGGAATGGGCCAAAATACCAGCAACAGTGTGTGAAAACCTTGTGAAGACTTACAGAAAACGTTTGACCTGTGTCATTGCCAACAAAGGGTATATAACAAAGTATTGAGAAACTTTTGTTATTGACCAAATACTTATTTTCCACCATAATTTGCAAATAAATTCATTAAAAATCCTACAATGTGACTTTCTGGATTTTTTTTTCTCATTTTGTCTGTTATAGTTGACGTGTACCTATGATGAAAATTACAGGCCTCTCTCATCTTTTTAAGTGGGAGAACTTGCACAATTGGTGGCTGACTAAATACTTTATTTCCCCACTGTATATGAAAATCCACAATATTTATTGTCACATTTGCTGTTGATTTTGTTTATGACAATCAGACCACTTATCCAATATTTTATTAAGATAAACTAATAGTTTGATGTGTAAAATTAGCAGTGCAATAGAGGTAACAGTGATTATGATTATCATACAAATCTGGACGTTTTTCTGCTTTGTGTCGCTCACTTCACCCTCATGCCTCACAGCTTGAATGTTTAATCTCTGAAAATAAACACAAACAAAAGCAAAGCAAGCATGCCATGGATAGTTAATCTTGATTGTTTTTTAGTACACCTGCCATTTGATAACTCAGGGGGTTTCTGCAAGTTGTTGATTTATGGAGTGATCTACACTAGTTTGTGTAGTGTTTTTATTCATTCACTCCACATCACAAAGCAGGAATGCTACAGTACATGCTTGAGTGGACAAACTTAGACAATGTAGCTAAATATTAGTTAAAAAAAACTCCATTCCCCACAAAGCATCTTGTGAGATTAACAGAAGTGTCTAATTTCAAGAAAATAGAAAATGCTATTGGAGTGTGGGGAAGTCCGAGGTGGTTGATGGGACAGGCAGCAGATGCAGTCATCGCCACATAAATGATCCACGCTTACCTAGAGCTGAAGTGAAAAAAATATATATACTAAAATGTATGCACTCACTGACTGTAAGTCGCTCTGGATAAGAGCGTCTGCTAAATTACTAAAATGTAAAATGTAAGTGTTGGTGAAAAAACATTGCATGTTAGAAACCGACTCACACCCTGGAGAGGCTCCTGCTCAGCTCAGCTCACTGCTGAGTCATTTTGCCGTTTTCTTTATATAACATGTAATGTAGGACTATGTATGCACTGGCATAAAACATAGATCTGGATGGGTCTGTATATAGGTCACATTTATGTGAGTCATACCAAAGAGACCTTCGAACATATTGTACGCTAGGGTATAGGATATAGTGCAGTATAGTAACACACCCAGTATAGTTATTAGAAATCTCATCTTGGCCTCAAAATGGAATTAACCAAAGGTTTTTCACTCACACTTGTTAACTCAGGTGTGTATTGGAGGTGATGTGGAATTGTTACATTCCATTGGTTTCACAAGTGGGAGGTACATGGATTTCAGAAGTGGGATGTATTGGTGTCAGCAGTGGGATGACAGACGCAATTGATTTTATACATTCAAGAAGATGTCTTTATTGTGTATAACCTTGTGTATAACCTTGCACAGTAGGCTCATTTGTTATCTACACTGAGTGTACAAAATATTAAGAACACCTTCCAAATATTGAGTTTGCCCTCAGAATAGCCTCAATTCGTCGGGGCATGGACTACAAGTTGTCGAAAGTGTTCCACAGGAATGCTGGCCCATGTTGATTCCAATACTTCCCACAAGTTGTGTCAAGTTGGCTGGATGTTGTTTGGGTGGTGGACCATTCTTGATACACACAGGAAACTGTTGAGCATGAAAACCCAGCAGCGTTGCAGTTCTTGAAACAAACCGGTGTGCCTGGCACCTACAACCATAAAGCACTTAAAGCTTTTGTCTTGCCGATTCACCCTCTGAATGGCACACATACACAATCCATGTCTCAATTGTCTCAATGCTTCAAAATCCTTCTTTAACCTGTCTCCTCCCCTTCATCTACACTGATTGAAGTGGATTTAATTAGTGACATCAATAATGGGTCATAGCTTTCACCTGGATTCACCTGGTCAGTCTATGTCATGGAAAGAGTAGGTGTTCTTAATGTTTGTACACTCAGTGTATATCTGTTCCAAATGAATATTGTAACCTGACGTTTTGGTTTTAGGGATGTCTTTGAATACACTCTTTGGTAATTTACTCAGTCCATCACAGTTCCACTGATGATCAAGTGGTTTTCAAAAGCAGGTCTCAGCTTTGAAGATGAATCCTATTTACAACATTGAAGTATGATCTCTCATTTCAGACATTACAGTGACAAGACTTGGTTCTTACTCTCGAGCATCATAATTTCTAATAAGTATGTCTGGCATGTGGGTAACCTTAACATAGACTTTCTTCTCTTTTTGTCGATTATAACAATTATGCGTTGTCTAGGTCAGTTACTGCAAAGATCGACTTGTCATGCTTTTCATGTAGTCTTTTCACATCATGTTATTTTTTTTGTTCTTATTGATTACTGTCATCTTCTTAATAATCAGTAAATCAAGTAAACAAAAAGCTTTTTTTTTTTTTTCCCTTCACAGAGAGGAATTGCTTTGGTGGATTTTGTTACTTCCTTTGTACTAACAAATATGATAAAACTTTGATATCTGTAGTCATGGTGGTTAGTTTAAGTTAAATACTAATTGGGTCATAATAACGCATAATAACATTTTTAAACACATTGATTTAGTAGATCCACTCCAACCAGTTATAAAAGTTATCAATGTCATCAGTGCCCAGCTTCTTCAGATCCTTAGCGGTCACTTATTAAGAAATGTAGCAAGTGGAACAGATTTCACTTTATCTGTCCAACACTGGGGACCAACAAGATAAGAAGTCCTTAAGCCAGATCAAAGTAGAACTGGAAGAATCCAACTGGCCTCAACAGATCCCTTTATTTCATCTCTGTAATAGCTTCTAAACACCGCAGCCTGATTCTAATTAGCCACATTTACACTGCACTTAGCCCAGGGCTAACAGCCTCTTTATCCCTGGGCTAAGATTCTTTGCTCCGGAGCAGGGTTGGCACTGACTTTCACAATATTGGTAAATATGTAAATTCATTTATTTCTTTCTTTCAGGCATTCCATGTCCTATTATTGTTGCTTGGGCCATTGGGAAGCTTTATAATGAAAATGAACAGTAAGTGCACAGTTTCAATTTAAACAACAACAATGGAATCTCAAGCATTTTATAATTAGTTGTTTGTGTTTTTGTATTTTGTTGTATCTGACTAACAATTCTAGTCGCGAGGCCGACGAAGATGGCGGCCTCGCTACTAGCTCTTAGGAAACTTTGCAGTATTTTTTTTATTTATTTATTGTTTTTTACATTATTCGCTCAGAAAGTTTTTTTCCTCATTACATACAGCCGGGAAAAGCTATTGGATATCAGAGCGGCGGTAACTCACCAGCATTACGACCAGGAATACAACTTTCCTGAAGCAGATCCTTTGTTTGCTCTCCCCAGGGCAACTGAACTGATTCCAGCGGCTGACCTCAAAGAACTTCACTGAACCTTATGCAAACTGGAAACCACATGTCCTGAGGCTGCATTTATTGTAGCCGGGGATTTTAACAAAGCAAATTTGAGGCTTAGGCTGCCGAAGTTCTATCAACATATCGACTGTTGTACTCGCTCGCCAAAATCCTCGACCATTGCTATTCGAACTTCCAGGATGGTTATAAGGCCCTCCCCACCCTCCTTTCGGCAAATCTGACCACGACTCCATTTTGCTTCTCCCTTCCTGTAGGCAGAAACTCAAACAGGAAGTATCCGTGCTAAGGACGATTCAACGCTGGTCTGACCAATCGGAATCCACGCTTCAAGATTGTTTTGATCAAGCGGACTGGGATATGTTCCGGGTAGCTTCCGAAAATAATTTTGACGAATACACTGAAACGGTGACTGAGTTTATCAGGAAGTGTATAGGTGATGTTGTGCCCACTGTGACTATTAAAACCTACCCTAACCAGAAACTGTGGATAGATGGCAGCATTCGCGCAAATCTGAAAAGCGTGAACCACCGCATTCAACCATGGCAAGGTGACTGGGAATATGGCAGAATACAAACAGTGTAGCTTCTCACTCCGCAAGGCAATTAAACTGGCAAAACATCAGTATAGAGTAAGAATGCTGTTCATTGACTATAGCTCAGCATTCAACACCATAGTACCCTCCAAGCTCATCATTAAGCTCGAGGCCCTGGGTCTGAACCCCACCCTGTGCAACTGGGTCCTGGACTTCCTGAAGGGCCGCCCACAGGTGGTGAAGGTAGGAAACAACATCTCCACTTCGCTGATCCTCAACACTGGGGCCCCACAAGGGTGCGTGCTCAGCCCCCTCCTGTACTCCCTGTTCACCCATGACTGCGTGGCCAAGCACGCCTCCAACTAAATCATCAAGTTTGCAGACGACACATCAGTAGTAGGCTTGATTACCAACAATGACGAGACCGCATACAGGGAGGAGGTGAGGGCTCTGGGAGTGTGGTGCCGGGAAAATAACCTCTCACCCAACATCAACAAAACAAAGGTGATGATCTTCAAGAAACAGCAGAGGGTGCACCCCCCTATCCACATCGACAGGACCGCAGTGGAGAAGGTGGAAAGCTTCAAGTTCCTTGGCGTACACATCACCGACAAACTGAAATGGTCCACCCACACAGACAGTGTGGTGAAAAAGGCGCAACAGAGCCTCTTCAACCTCAGGAGGCTGAAGAAATTCGGCTTAGCACCTAAAACCCTCACAAACTTTTACAGATGCACAATTGAGAGCATCCTGTCGGGCTGTATCACCGCCTGGTACGGCAACCGCACCGCCCGCAACCGCAGAGCTCTCCGGAGGGTGATGCGGTCTGCCGAACGCATTACCAGGGGCAAACTACCCACCTTCCAAGACACATACAGTACACGATGTCACAGGAAGGCCAAAAAGATCATCAAGGACATCAACCACCCGAGCCACTGCCTGTTCACCCCGCTATCATCCAGAAGGCGAGGTCAGTACAGGTGCATCAAAGCTGGGACCGAGAGAATGAAGAACAGCTTCTATCTCAAGGCCATCAGACTGTTAAATAGCCATCACTAGCACATTAGAGGCTGCTGCTGCCTAATGAAATCACTGGCCACTTTAAGAAATGGAACACTAGTCACCTTAATGATGTTTACATATCTTGCACTACTCATCTTATATGTATATACTGCATTCTATTCTATAATATTCTACTGTATCTTAGTCCATGCCGCTCTGTCATTGCCTGTCCATATATGTATATATTCTTAAATCCCATTCCTTACTAGTTTTGTGTGTATTGGGTATATGTTGTGGAATTGTTAGATATTACTTGTTAGATATTACTGCACTGTCGGAGCTAGAAGCACAAGCATTTCGCTACTCCCGCTATAACATCTGCTAAACACGTGTATGTGACAAATACAATTTGATTTGATTTGATTTGAAAGGCTGAGGGTTGGTTGAAGGTGAAGGGTAATGACCTTTGATGGAGTGCAAAGAAACCTATACAGATGTAGGATCTTAATTTGAGCCAGTTTGCTACAGCAGAAATATAATCCTTTAGCAACAAGAAATGTGAATTATTATGTGGATTATAATTAATGGACATTTCTGTAGGGGTTGATACAATTTCCATAAGGGAAAATCAAGTCTGAAATGTCAAAGTGGAAATGAAAACTACACGTTTTAAAACTACACGTTTTACATTTCCTGTATTTCCTGATTAAGATCCTACATCTGTACATGTATGCCACAGTATGAAAATGTATGCACTCACTAACTGTAAGTCGCTCTGGATAAGCGCGTCTGATAAATGACTAAAATTGAAAATAGAAAATTTGTTAGTCACAGATAAACCTTGAAAGATGTCTTATACCCTTTGTAGTACAGAGTAGTACTTGAATCCGTTTAGTATTGTGGAAACACTACCAATACTGATTCAAGGTGAATCAGCAATTTACTCTATTGTAGGTGTCAAAGGGGCATTCATTGTAACATTTACAAGAGGATAATTTATGTTATCTAAAGAGGTTATGAAAAGTCAATCGATGGCTCAGTGTATTTGAAAATTGAATTTCTGTCCTTTTTAATAGAATAAAGTCAAACTTCAGTTCAATAGTTAGAGGTCCTGTTTTATAAGTTTTGACTGTGCTGTTTATGATGCTATTATCAAGGCACTTCTTGGCTAACCGAAAGAGTGCATTTAATATCCAATTTATAAATTAAACTTCAATTGTAGCAATGATAGCAATTGATAATGCTCCAAAATTGTTTTGCTAATAATGGAATATAGTTTGATAAAAATGATGTTACGTTTAATATGCTACACTTCAAAAACCCTTTATTTGAACGTTTGTCAACAGATGCTGGTTTGGTAAAGAACCTGGAAAGTATATTGACTACATTTATCAAGGGCCGGTCATCCTTGTCCTTTTGGTAGGTAACAATACCATTGTCTCTCACTGTTTTCTTTCTTAAACTGCCCTAATGCAACCGCAACACATTTCAGTTCCTTTAATTATTTGTTCATTATTTAAACATCCTGTTCTACATAATGAACTCTTAATTAATGTTTTCCATCTGTATTCTCTGCTAGATAAACTTCGTTTTCCTCTTCAACATAGTAAGAATCCTTATGACCAAGTTGAGAGCTTCTACCACATCAGAAACTATACAGTACAGGTGAGTCACTACTCCTGTGGGGTTGTTATTTGGAATATCGCATGCCATATTAAGATTACTTGACCTCCATTTAATATTCATGCTAAAATAATAAGATAATATTCTGCATTTTGCCTCCATTGCTTCCCCCAGTGTTTTTAAGCGAGAAAGTAGAAGCGTTCGTTAGTTAACGTTGAACAATTGAGCTTTAATCTAGCAGATTTTTGCCCTTATTAGAGTAAATTATTTAAACCCCTCATTTAGACCTCAGAAGGAATCCAGCCTAATGTCAAAGGAGGATTCTTAAATACATTTTGACTGTACCAAAATGTTGCAAATATCAAGAGTCATCCAGAAGTGACATTTTGCTAAAAGGAACAATCTTTTCCAATAATTTCAGCAGACAGGCTATGTGAATGAATAGGAGAGAGGCACAGGTCTTTCCAAGAACGTTATCACCACAGAACACCCGTATCTGGTTTTCTAACATTTTGTTATTCCCTCTGATGCTGGTGCACTGAAGACAGTCTGGGGAAGAAAAAAAACACCTGGCCTAAACCAGTGCCTTACAGGATTCACCAAAGGTGAACGTCCGCTCACTATTTGATTGCTCCATACGCAATAAAGCTTTTAATAAACTTTCAATAAAGGTGACAAAATATAATTTCAAACAACATGGTCTTTGTCCTAACATGGTCTTCGTCCTTAGTCGGATATATTGTATTGTGATGTGAGACTGCCAACCCACAGTTATTGCAGTTATTACAACCTCCCCTCCACATTCACAGTTTATGGAGCAATTAATGAGGCATTTGTTTAACAAATTCCTCCTACTCAACGAAGTGATAATAAGGTCAGCTGCTTTATCAGGGATTAATCACTTCAATCTGTACTCAACTTGCACGCACCATTTCATAACATTCCTATAAAGATATGACCCCACACACACACACATACACACACCATTTTCCGTGATGATCTTTTCTGTTTGATACAGAACCCCTCTTTTTTATTACAAATTAACTGCTGATGTTGCACAGTGTTTAATAGCCTTGCGTATCTTATTCCTTGAACAACTGGCATCGTCCTCGATTCACATTGAAGCTCTTTTTCATGGTGGATTATTTGAAAACTCAAAAGAGGACATCTCAATTCCCAGCAAAGTCTGCAGACCTCTGTCTAGAATAGGGCTCTATTACTCCAATGCTGATATTGCTGACATTGGGTTCCCTACTCAAAGTCAAACAGTGGATTTATATCCTGAGCTACAGTAGGTTAATGTGCTATTTGATGTGTAAACGGGGCCATCAGCTGTTTCACTGCTTAGGTAGATGACCTGAAATCCCATCGTAATTCAAGGAAATTAAGAATGAAAGACTGTCTCCCAGAGAGATTTTCTATTTGCAACCAGATACTCAAATAGACCGCTTATATTGTCAGATTGTTGTTTTGGCCGCAAAACCCTAAGCAATAAACTCCTTTCTGTCATCAACCTGATGGAGGCAAGCTTTGGGCGACATTGTGAACAATATCATTAAACTCCCTCTTAATTGAGCTGATAGAAAGGAGCCTTGTGAGGCAGTAGTCTCATAGGATGGGGTTCTAACTATACTAGCTAAGAATGTGTATCTCTGATGTTCATTATTTAGGATATTTTATCAACAGCCTTGGTGAGAAATGGTAAATAGCAAGCAACCTCCAAAAATACACTTTGGGTCTTGGAGTGCTTTTTTGTATTGACATACAGTGGGGAAAAAAAGTATTTAGTCAGCCGCCAATTGTGCAAGTTCTCCCACTTAAAAAGATGAGAGAGGCCTGTAATTTTCATCATAGGTACACGTCAACTATGACAGACAAATTGAGTTTTTTTTTCTCCAGAAAATCACATTGTAGGATTTTTAATGAATTTATTTGCAAATTATGGTGGAAAATAAGTATACTTTTTTCCCCCACTGTACATACTGTACATATAAACCTTTACACAGCTTCCTTTTAGAAGCAACCCCTTTCACCAATTACTTTTGTAACTAAATTGGAGTACTGATGTTTTTCTGTTATTTCCTTCACAGAAAAGCGGTAAAAGCGACATTAGTGCTACTGCCTCTTCTGGGGATCACCTACATGCTATTTTTTGTGAATCCCGGGGAGGACGACATCTCGCAAATAGTTTTTATTTATTTCAATTCATTTCTACAGTCATTTCAGGTAAGATCTTTACCAAGTTGCTCCCATCTTCCCAAGAACACAAAAACCTTGAACCTTTTAAATCTGTATCATATTCTTTATCTTTAATATACTGTTCATTTGAGTTTTTATAGGTTTTATAGCCTGTGGAAGAAGGGCCCTTTGTACTATTGTAAGGCTTTGTAAACCTGCCCCTCGTTGCTTTACTATCAAGTGTTCTGAGCTGTCAGGAGAATGTATCTGGAGACGTATGTGGGCGTGAGTTTGTCCACAGTGAGTATTCTCAGTGTAAACCTTTGCTCCACAATGCAAGGCGTGGGGAGAAGGTACTGTATTAATGGTGCTCAGTGAAAGTGTGTAGAGAATAGAGGTCAGTTTTATAACAGTTTTAGACTATTCTTATAAAAATAGTTTACAAAAGACTGTTCCATCATTAATCAGTACTCCTATTATTGCTATGTTGAAATGTGAAATGCAGACTGCCCTGAATGTGAAATGCAGTGTAGACTTTTTCTTTGTTTGTGAATCTTTGACTCAATTGCTTTTTTGTCATTTCTATACACTTTTTAAAAGTTACTAATTGGGGCAGAAAATATGTTGTAAACACCAGTGGAGGCTCCTCCGAGGAGAAAGGGGAGGACCATCCTCCTCAGTGAATTTCATAAAAATAAAAATGGTAAAACATTTTAAAAGTTTTATGTTTTAGATAAAACTATGCTAAATATAATCACGTCACCAAATAATTGATTAAAACACACTGTTTTACAATGGTCTACAGTAGCCTCAACAGCACTCTGTAGGGTAGCACCATGGTGTAGCCGGAGGACAGCTAGCTTCCGTCCTCCTTTGGGTACATTGACTTCAATACAAAACCTAGGAGGCTCATGGTTCTCACCCCCTTCCATAGACTTACACAGTAATTATGACAACTTCCAGAGGACGTCCTCAGAGCTCTTGCAGCATGAACTGACATGTTGTCCACCCAATCAAAGGATCAGAAAATGAATCTAGTACTGAAAGCATATGCTACAGCTAGCCAGCACTGCAGTGCATAAAATGTGGTGAGTAGTTGGCTCAAAGAGAGAGAAAGACAATAGTTGAACAGTTTTGAACAAACTAATTTCATCCAAAAAAAAATTCACTTTAAGTTTACTTACTTAGCTAGCAAATGCAGGTAGGTAGTTTAGCCTAATCAAACACCCTGCTCAAACAGAGGGATGCTATATTATAGCTGGCTATGACTATCCAACACAACACTGAAACTCTTCCAAGTCAAGGTAAGCTTTTGGTTATACTAATTTATTGCCACTGGGGCCCACCGGTGTAAGTGCTAAACTGCTTACTGACTGTCCACTGTAACGTTACTGTATGATTGTAGTGGGTTTACTAACGCGTTAGTTCTATGTGCTATGTTGACTATGACTCTAGCTAATATGTTGACAATGATGTAGGCTGTGTGTAGCGGTTATGATATGGTTTTGCTTGGAACGTTTTTTTTTGCCTGATTTGTTGTGCGTTGAAGTCCACAAGCAAAGGGAAAGGGTGAGAGGAGGAGAGTGCATAGAGGTGAGAAGGAATACAATGTGGCTGCTATGAAAGTCTGCTGTGTTTACGCGTGATCAGGGGTGTATTCATTCTGCTGATTCTGTTGAAAAACAAAACAGGGATAAACATACCTGAATTTGTCCAATAGAAACTCTCATTTGCAACTGTTGGACTAATGACTACACCCTACAGTATATCAGCTAGATGCAGGCAATAGTATGCAAGGCAGTATTGAATGTGTCACTGTCTGTCACCTCTACGTTGTAAACTTTCATTCATAGGCTAGGTTGTAGCAACCTCATGATGGGTATAAGTACAATGGTTATACTAGTTTCATGTAGTAGCCTAAACCTATCACTGTTACATTGAACTGGGTGAATGGAATATGAATGACAGTCATCCAATATGCTTTCATAGAAATAAGGCCATGCTCATGAAAAACAAAAATAGTCCTTCCTCATCTTAAACGGTACTGACCGCCACAACAAATGCCTATTGCTAGCACACCTTGAGTGGCAGTCTGATTATTTGGACTCACTATAAAATATCTGACCAATAGGTGATGTTTTCCAATATTGTACATCCCTATTTGAGTGACTTGACCCCTATTTGAGTGAATTGATTATTGTACATCGTCATTTGAGGGAATTCATAAAGATCAATAAAAACAGATTCTACATATGAAGGTCCATTTTGTACATTCAACATTGTCCCGTCTTGTTTTCCAGGGGTTCTTTGTGTCAGTATTCTACTGCTTTCTTAATGGCGAGGTGAGTCAACAATGATCTTTTCAAGGGTGGGCTTCGCTGTGTGGCAGACCATTATGAGAGGCAGTGGACATAAAGTCCTGAGACCCTACTTTTAACTCTCTCACGGAAGGCCATCATTATCCTGCAGGCTATTTTTTGCTTTACTGAAGATGCTCTTTCTAGGCCTATTTCCCCCATCTTTCCCCTTTACTTTAGGCATCATTCTTGAAATTCATTAAGTGCCATAAAAAGGGTCATGAGTCATTCAGTAATGGTGGAAAATGTAGCTCCCTCCTGCTGCTGCTGTTCTCAACTGCATCTGTGAAGCTTTCATTGGTATAGACACATGAAAAAAAGACTGATTGAAGTCTACTGTGGATACTTTGGAAGCTATTCACTGTATCTGAAATGTGTGGTTCTGTACTGTTTTGTAAAGATTGTTTGTTGATACTTAATCATATGTCAATTTAAGTTCAAGAGATTTCCTGTGCCCTAGATATTGTGTCTCCTACCAGATAGACTGACTGCCCACTACTAATACAGTATTTCATTGTCGTCTTTCAGGTGCGCTCAGCAGCCAGGAAAAGATGGCATCGTTGGCAGGACAACCATGCCCTGAGAGTGCGCGTGGCACGTGCCATGTCCCTCCCCACCTCACCCACCAGGATCAGCTTCCATAGTATAAAACAGACCACAGCCGTTTGACCAAGTTCAAAGGTCACCTTTGGAAATGTAATTTTTCTAGGGAAGAGACTTGTCTTGAAGCACCTCTCCATAAACTTTGTCTATTTCCTTTATTTCTTACCCCAGCTGCATAAGGACAGATACAGAACGCTTTGAGGAAGAGACCATTAGGATTTCTGAATTACAATACTGTAACACGACCTCCTTGGACGTGTGACACAGAAGTAAATTCAGAACAGATGGGCCATGCCGCCTCACCAAATGCAGAGTCAAAGTCCCACTGACAATGCATTAATAGCTGTTGTCATGCTGTAGTACACCAGGTTGGATTTTAATAGGTCAGGAAGGTCAACCTTTCAAGGACCAATCCTGACGAGGCAAAACATGCAATGTTAGTGTCAAAAGAGACCCTAATCAGTCTCAGTACTCTACTGTACTTGTAGCAGCATTTATCTCCATAACCCTTAATTGTTTCATGTCTATCAGAGGGCAGGGATAAGCAGGAATGTGCATAAACAGTGCGGACACAGGATGAAATTGCATTCTGTGTCTGTTGCAGACTGAGCTTGAGATGCAATGCGAGAGGTCAAATTATACTGTTAATACCCAAGGAAAGAAGGAACGTGCAGACTCAAAGTGATATCGTTTGGGTTGTCATCAGTACCACTTTTTTGCGTTGTCAAAATGTCATCCTAAGAGCTATTCAAGTGTATAAATGTTTTCAGGCTAATTTATTTTAAGATTGTTCCCTGCCAATCACTCTCAAATGCTTTTGAACAGCATCATGTCAATGATGTGTTTTTCTCACTTCTGTATAGAAAACCCTAAGGCTGCTCTTATGTGGATGAGTAATCATAAATCAAAGCTATCTTTCACTGGGTTTGACTTCAGATTATATATATTATCTTATGTAAATAATGGTGATGGGACTGTGATTCTGAGACTTTTACATAACACTTATTTAAACACTGAACATTTAAAAACTGTTTTAGTGTCGCAGACCCTGATTTCAGTCCACGCAATCCCACAGCTGTCCCAAGTCAAGAGAAATAGGAGTAATTTAAAGGTACCGTACATTGTGCATGCATTAAATCCTTTTCACATAGTTATTTTCTCTCTTTCAAATCCCAATATGCCGCAGTTAATCAGTGTCAGCTCTGCCCCGGTAATGCCTGACCGACGGTCTGACCTGCTTGGGTGTTATCCTCCTCTCCCTCCAGGCTCACTGCAGTATAATACAAGATCCAGACACTTAGGCATGCCTTTTTATTCAGGCAGCAGTGAGCAGCTCTGGAAAATAGAACAGTAGAACCCATGCACCCAGGGAATTAAGTTCTTAAAATGTGGAATTGTATAAATTATGCAATTAGATGACATTGAGTACAAGCTCACTGATCTAGGGTATTTGTTTAATGCATTGTATAAATCTATTTAGGATTATAAGCAACAAGGCACCTCATAGTTTAGTTACTTTGGGAGTATATAGTACGCAAGATGCTCAAATTAAATTATATAACATCTGTTGAGAGTTGCTGTTTTTAAAAATAACTTAGGTACGGGCTCAGTGACAAAGTCCGAATTAATTATTGCTTTACACATTTTCCTGGCATTGAAATATAACCACGTTTATGTTGTACAACAGCCAATTATAATTTCTCAAATTGACATTTTGGGGGACATTTTAGTCATTTAGCAGATGCTCTTATCCAGAGCGACTTACAGTTAGTGAGTGCATACAATTTTTCATACTGGCCCCCCGTGGGAAATTAACCCACAACCCTGGCGTTGCAAGCGCAATGCTCTACCAACTGAGCTACACGGGGCTTGTAATTACAGATTTACTTCAGGAAGGTCAGGTATTTTTCTCATCATCATTCAGTAATTACTGTGAAAATAATATGGTAGCATAGAATAAATTATGAACCTGTCATGTCCATTAGAGTTTGCACCCCTTGATTGCTTGATGTATAATTTTCTGGAAGAGTTGACTTTGTACCAGTTTCCTGTGTTATATTTTCATAAACATGACTCACTCCACATGCACAATACCTCTGTTGAACATCACAAACTTTTCAAGCAAATAGTTTTCAAGCAAACAGTCACAAGATCTAAATAAATTGCCTATAAACTACAGTTGAAGTCGGAAGTTTACATACACTTAGGTTGGAGTCATTCAAACTCAGTTTTCAACCACTCCACAAATGTCTTGTTAACAAACTATAGTTTTGGCAAGTAATTTTTCCAACAATTGTTTACAGACAGATTATTTAACTTATCATTCACTGTATAACAATTCCAGTGGGTCAGAGGTTTACATACACTAAGTTGACTGTGCCTTTAAACAGCTTGGAAAATTCCAGAAAATGATGTCATCGCTTTAGAAGTTTCTGATAGGCTAATTGACATCATTTGAGTCAATTGGAGGTGTACCTGTGCATGTATTTCAAGGCCTACCTTCAAACTCAGTTCCTCTTTGCTTGACATCATGGGAAAATCAAAAGATATCAGCCAAGACCTCAGAATAAAAATTGTAGACCTCCACAAGTCTGGTTCATCCTTGGGAACCATTTCCAAACGCTTGAAGGTACCACCTTAATCTCTACAAACAATAGTACGTAAGTATAAACACCATGGGACCACGCAGCCGTCATACCGCTCAGGAAGGAGACGTGTTCTGTCTCCTAGAGATGAACGTACTTTGGTGCGAAAAGTGCAAATCAATCCCAGAACAACAGCAAAGAACCTTGTGAAGATGCTGGAGAAAACAGGTACAAAAGTATCTATATCCACAGTAAAATGAGTCCTATATCGACATAAACTAAAAGGCCGCTCAGCAAGGAAGAAGCCACTGCTCCAAAACCGCCATAAAAAAGCCAGACTACGGTTTGCAACTGCACATGGGGACAAAGATCGTACTTTTTGGAGAAATGTCCTCTGGTCTGATTAAACAAAAATAAAACTGTTTGGCCATAATGACCATCGTTATGTTTGGAGGAAAAAGGGCGTTGCTTGCAAGCCAAAGAACACTATCCCAACCGTGAAGCACAGGGGTGGCAGCATCATGCTGTGGGGGTGCTTTGCTGCAGGAGGGACTGGTGCACTTCATAAAATAGATGGCATCACGAGGAAGGATAATTATGTGGATATATTGAAGCAACATCTCAAGACATCAGTCAGGAAGTTAAAGCTTGGTCGCAAATGGGTCTTCCAAATGGACAATGACCCCAAGCATACTTCCAAAGTTGTGGCAAAATGGCTTAAGGACAACAAAGTCAAGGTATTGGAGTGGCCATCAGAAAGCTCTGACCTCAATCCTATAGAAAATGTGTGGGCAGAACTGAAAATGCGTGTGCGAGCAAGGCGGCCTACAAACCTGACTCAGTTACACCAGCTCTGTCAGGAGGAATGGGCCAAAATTTACCCAACTTATTGTGGGAAGCTTGTGGAAGGCTACCCGAAACTTTTGACCCAAGTTAAACAATTTAAAGGCAATGCTACCAAATACTAATTTAGTGTATGTAACCTTTGACCCACTGGGAATGTGATGAAAAAAATAAAAGCTGAAATAAATCCTTCTTTACTAATATTCTGACATTTCACATGATTAAAATGAAGTGGTGATCCTAACTGACCTAAGACAGGGAATTTTTACTAGGATTAAATGTCAGGAATTGTGAAAAACTGAGTTTAAATGTATTTGACTAAGGTGTATGTAAACTTCAGACTTCAACTGTATGTGAAAAACTGTAAATATTTTTGCTATTTTCTTGTCCTAAACCACTAAACCCTGTTGGTTGAACATCATTTTGTTATTTATGTTTGCGAGGTGACTCCATGTTGAATGTTTATATTGGAGTCGTTTTACTCATATCTAGGGGTTCTAGTTGAGAAGGTCTGAAAATAAGAGTACATCTTCAAAGAGTGCGATAAAACATGTATAACAAAAATGTGTAGTTGTACTGTACATGAAAACTCTTTTAAAGTTTGTTGTATGTATATTGTAATCAATACAGTATTTGTACCTGTTTTATGAAGTAAAGATAGATTTTTTTTCTTCTCTTTTACCGTTAGAGTGACAGTAGTAATTCATTAAGAACATTCAGAGCATTCAGGTTATATGTATACTTATGACCATCCAACGCAATCATAGAAAGATATGAATTTTTTAATAATATTTTACTTGTTTGTATCACCATCACTTACTTTACAGTTTAAATTGTAATTTCCATGATGTTTTTAGTCTATTGAATATACATACTACAGCACTCCCATGAAAGTTAATAAAAGATCAGCAGAGTTTTAAATTCACCAATGGAAATCCAACTAAAACTTGAGATTGAAACTTAAAACATAGATTTATTTGTTTCAATTCTGAAATTATTTTATGAATATATAATGATTCATTCATTCAAAATGACATATTCACCAAAGATATGAAACGTGTTTACCTGCATACGTTTACTTTTTGTCAGTGCACTTTTTCCGGCCTTTTTCAAATTTTGTATAGCGTCACCATTCTCTTATGTAGGTTTGAATTAATGACGTATTAATGTACATAAATGCATTTTGGCATTTTGTTGAAATACCAATGTTGCCTTATAGAAAAACATTGTGTAAAGAGCAAAAACTATGTTTCTACATTAGTTGTTGTACTGATATGTGTGATTGATATGCATTTATTGTCACGTTGTATACTGATAGAAGATAGGCGCAGGAATGCGTAATAGAGGTTTTTTATTACTCTACCCAACATAAGGTACATCATGGAAAATGACGGGGACGAAGCCCAAAACAAACACGTATGTTTTGGGCTTCTCCCCATATACAGTGGGGAGAACAAGTAATTGATACACTGCCGATTTTGCAGTGGGGAGAACAAGTATTTGATACACTGCCGATTTTGCAGTGGGGAGAACAAGTATTTGATACACTGCCGATTTTGCAGGTTTTCCTACTTACAAAGCATGTAGAGGTCTGTAATTTGTATCATAGGTACACTTCAACTGTGAGAGACAGAA